TTCTCGTAATTCTGTTGGGTATTCTAATTTATTGTGTAAAAAATGTAAACCGTAATATTATTGCTTACTTCCACATTTAAAAATACACAGTCATTTACTTTGAATTTCGGGTCTTTACATTAATGGTCAAGAAATTGTCCCTAAACTGATCATAGACAAAAAAACTTAACTTTCGCTATGATTTCAGAAGTGGGATACAACCATCACCAAATAGAGGGATATGTGATCATTCCCACATCTTTTTAGGTCTCCTTTTGGGTAGAGTGATAGCATCCTGCAAATAAACAAAAGGGCCATATGTACAAGACCTTTTCTTTTAAGTAACTGAATAGAGAAACATTGAAGAATATAAGCCTACCATTGATAGTCACTAGCTTCGAACTCACGGGTTTTATAGTTATCAGTACCATTAGGTGCTGAAAGTTTTTTAGAGTACAGAGAATGATTCAACTCTGAATATGTAGTGTTCTGGTGCTGAATCCCTCACTGATCTTGAAACTTTTGCATAAATTAAAGCATGAACCGAGGCTTTTAACCAGTATGCATAAGCTGAAATATTAACATATGGACATGTAAAAAATGGTATAGAAATCCAAAAAGGGGGAAAAAAAAACATTAAGATATAAGTGCAAAATTACATTATCATCTTCTTCAGTAATTACCTGATTCGGATGTGGGAATTTGGGTATTCTGAGCATTACCAATGGCAGATAGTTCTTAGTTTGGCAACTGCAACTAGTTGGTCTCCATATAAATACATTTTTCACACATTGAGAACGACTCATGCTTTAACCTTCTAAGTGTCTGCAGTATTCTCTATAAATCCACACTTATTCGAATTCAAAAATTCATCAGACCCAATATTAGAATTCCTTAAAATCAGATTGAACCTTTGAGGTCTTCCATAAAAATCATACTGTTATCACCAAAATTCATTTCTTATGAACTTTTGACCTCCACAGCCGTTTCCAAAACCTTGTACTACCAGTAAATTGTTCCCATGGCTTTTGGATTTCCTATATATATATCCAGGTCCCAAAGCAATGCTAACAGAACCCATGTTTAGTGTGTAAGCTTAATGACGGGGCTATTTGAGAGCAAATGAATAGCACATGCACTGGGTGATTCCAGATTTATTGAAATTTCTCTCGATGTTAAATATGTAGATTTCAAGAATTTCACTCAAAAGTAAATGACTCATGACTTATTGTAAATAAATGACTGATTGATTGAATATAATAAAACCTGTAAAACTTAGCTGAAATGATACTGATGATACAAATTTTACAGAGATATCATGGCCAAAAACTAAGTAAATCATCTACCAAGAATCCACTAAACTAAAACACACTGCAAAAGTCTAAAAGATATGTAATAATCTACACAACTATACCCATTTTGCAGACCCATCTACCATTTCTATATAAATATGTATTTATATTTCACCTTCTACTTCTTTTTCTCTGCTGCTTCTCCTTTCCTCCACCGCTTTCCCTACCTCGCTTCCCTAAGGTTTCTGCATTCGTCGTCTCTGCTTCCTTCTTAGGTGGCCTCCCTACATTCCTTTTCGACGGACTCCCTTCTTCCTTCCCCTTCTTTTTCTCTCCATTGCTTCTCAAAACCCTTTCCTTCCCTTTCTCTTTCTTCCCATTATTATTATTATTACTATTATTACCAGTGTTCTTTTTCTGCTCTCCACCCCCTTTATTATTCCCCCCTTTCTTTGTCGTCTGATCTGCAGGCGAATTCTTCTTTATCCTCTTCAAGAAATCCACCACACTTTTCTTTTTATCCGACCCCATCAAAGCCTCTGTTTTTTTCTTCTCTGTTTTGGGACTCTCCTGTTTTGAACCTGAGTTGGTGGTGCTCTGTTTCTTGTTAGGATTTGCAGTAACAGTGTTCTTACTGCTGCTGCTTCTTCTCGAGCTTCTTGTCCCAGTTACAGGTTTCTCTTTCTCTTTCAAACTCAAGTCAGCAGCTTGTAGCTTTTTACCAGACGCTGGTTTCCCCTCATCACTTTGTTGCTGGTCACCCTTTGAACCAAACCCAGAAGACGACGAGGGTTTTGTTGAAATCGAACTCCTTTTACGACAAACAATTAGAGGAGCAGAAGATTGTTGTCTAGCAAGCAATGAATCCGATCTCTCAAGCTCAGGTTTGAGTTGAGCTGTAATGGGTGATGATGGAGCTGGTGCAGCTGAAAAAGATTCAGACTTTTGGGTTTCCTTCTTCATTTGATTTGAGACCAGGGTTCGAAGTTCGTGAGCAGTGATGGATTCAAGGGAAGGTTTGGGAAAAAAAACGATGGCATTGTTGAAGAGAAGCAAAAGATCTTTGTAGAAAGAAAGGGTGCATGAGGAATAACAACCTTGCTCTATCTTCGCTTGTATGGACTCAATATCCACATGCTGTCTCACCAGGGTCTTGTAGTTCTTGGATTCCTGCATACAAATACTCAAACCATCTCAAGATTTCATCTTTACTAACAATTTAAAAATCTAAAATCATTTATCTGTGCAATTCAAACCACCTATACTGAAAAGGCAAATGGGTTATCCTCTTGTGAGATGCCAACCCATTAGGGTCATATAGATATAGTAGTTATCTTAGTGACACAAAACAAAAGGATAGAATCAGAGATCCATTTGATTTTATAATGTCCAAAAAACTTGGCCACTTCCAACATTTCATATGGGCTAAAAATTAAACACCAAAAGGACTCAGCCATTAGCCCAATGGTCAAATCAAGTTGAGCAACAATAAAGTCATGGGCTTTAACCATCCAATTCAATCAAGAAGAAAGATCCAGCAGCCATAGACCGGATTGGATCAAGCCCAAACCGGCAAAAACTGAAACTGATCCGATCCGGACCGGTTCAAGAATCAAAGTTCTCCTTTTTATGAAGAGGAAAAAGAGAATGAAAAAATTTAACAAAAGGCTCAAAATTTTTCATTTAAAAATAAATAAAAGTATCAACTTTCAATTCAGAAAGAAAAACAAGAATGAAATAACATCTGTTTTTAAAAAAAAATTAATTTTTTTCGCCGTTGGAAAAATGATATCTATTGGTGTGTGTATATATATATATATATATATATATATATAAGACGATAAGAAGACAAGAAGCGGACAGAATGCTACAGTAGGTTTTTTGTGGGGTCCATCGGCCAGATAAAACCCGCATGCACGCCACGTGTCTATGATTAATTTTCTATTATTATATACAAAATAGGTTATTTTTTTAGTTTCAATGTAAATTGCACTACTCAGGATTCGAACTTCCGACCTAACAGAGACATATGATTAATATATTATTTTTTTAGGAAAATAAATTACTTTTTTTATTTCACTCAACTATTACGATGAAATTAGAATTATTTCCCCATTTATTTACCATTTAAAAAAAATAATATTAACTTATTGGATAATTTATACCAAATATATTGTTTATCAAATTTTATAATATAAAATTTATAAAATGGTAACACAAAAAAAAAAAAGAAAAACTATATTTAATAAAACAAAATTAATTTTTAGGTTAAAATATTGTTTATTTCATAAATAAAATTAAAATAAATAAGGGGAAAAAAATTTCTATAAAGGCCAAAAAAAAGTAATAAAGGCCAAAAAATATGACAAGTGGCGTCAAATAAATGGACGGACTGAGTTGTTTGTCAACCTTGACCCAATTGAATTCCCTTGATTAGATTCTAATCAAATTTTTTTAAATTCATAATAATATTAATTAATTTTTAAGTTCATTGATTAAAAATAATAATAATTTTTTAAAATATATATATTGGTTTTAATTTCTTATTTTTTATTTACCGACGGGGAAATTTTTTAAAAAATATATATATTTTTTATTAAAAAGAAAATCGTATACCTGGCTTGGAAGCCGGCGTTCAAAAAATGAAGCGTGAGGATTTGCTCGAATCATCTCCAAGAACCCAATCAACGGTTCTGATTTAACTGGGCCCCCTCTGATCCCGTGATCATCACCGAACAATTCCTTTCTCCTCCTCCCTTTCCTCTTCCTCTTCCTCCCCATACTCGCCGAGCTCCCACTCACCTGAGTCACCGAGTCACCCAACTCTTCCGACTGACTCACCCCCGAGTTTCTATTACACGAGTCCTCCCCCGTCCCCACCGCCTCGTTCTCCTCCGTCTTCACAACCGGACCCTGCTTCCCTAAACCTTCCCTCTCCGGACCTCTTTCGTTGCCTCCCGCGCTTATATCCCCGGTTTTCGGATCCGATCCGGTTGAGTTTGACTCGTTCACCGACCTGTTTTCCGGGTCGGACTCCTCACCCGACTTCTTACCGGCAGGTTTCTCCGTCTCAGGTTGTTCTTCCCCGTTTCCTGATCTCTCGGCTTTGGACTCGTTTCCCAGATCTGGTTTCTTCTCATGGCTGCCGCTCTCCTGTTTCAAGCTTTGTTCTCTCTCTTCCTCCAATCTTTTCACCTTCAACTGCAAAGACCTGAAACGAAGAAAAAACAAATCTCTCAGATCCATCCACCCTTTTTTTTAAATTACGTTACATAATTCCTCGTGATTATTTATACTCGTACAGGATGGAGACGTCGTATTGCTGAACCTCACGTCTGAGCTCAGCAACCCGAACCTTCCTCAGCTCCTCCAGCCATGGGATGTTCTCCACTTTGTCACCTTCCTTGTTCTCAACATCCTCTTCGTCGTCGTCTTCGAGTATAGTACCCTGCTGCGTGAATCTACGCTTGAGGTCCCGGTACTTCTGCTTGCAGGTTTGAGCGGTAGTCAGGAGATGGGGGAGAGAGGTTCTTGTCTGGATTTCCATGGCGACGGAATCCCAGTTCTTGAAACCGTGACGCTTGACGGCGCATGCCAGTAGAAGCTCCTCCCACGTACCCCATATCTGGGTCGGGTGGTGACTGTTTCGGGTCCCGTTGGTTTCCTTTACCATGGATAGTTCTGTTTCTGGGTTCACCATCGTCCCTCCATTTTTGTTCAAAAGCCACCTTAGGGTTTACTTTTTAGTTATTGTTCCATCTCATGGGTAGACGTGAGAGAAATTTTACCTACTCTTTTGCTGTCTCTGTGTGTAATATATACATATATATATATATATATATAAATCTACAGAAACGGAGAGGCAGGCCCGATCTCGAGCACGCAACCGGTTTTGCTCGACCCGTTTTCTTTTTCGTTCGAGTTTTAGACCTTTTCCCCCCCTGTGTCAAATTACTCTATTACCCCTGTATACTAAGCGAATTTCCAAACAGCTGCCCCTCGTTTAAACGCTGCGAATAGGAGCGCGGTGGGTGAATTTACAGAATTGCCCAGAGGAAGGTTGTCGTTATCTTGGGGTTAGTTGGTGAGGGTTAGGTTTAGGTTGTAGACCCGATTTGAATTTTCAAAACGGTTACCCGCTTGTTTTTTGGGTCATATGGGCCTGGGCCTGGGCTACTTGGAGAACTAATTTTCTTGTTTTTATCCTAATTAATTAATTTTTAATGTTAATTAAACATGTTTTTCTATTAATTAATTCCCCGCGCAATAGGTTTAGTTTAATTTTTTTTTATTAAAAAAAAAAATTAATAAATTCCTCTCAAATTCAAATAACTTTAAACTCGAACTTGAAAACGGTTCACTTGATTCACACCTCTTTACATTATTTAGTTCTCAATCCGAGCCTAAAAAAAAGACGAAAAATAATATACGACCTACTTAATAATGTATATGCAAATTGTGTTGTGCATGGGCCATGCATGAAGATAACCTTCACTTTCTCAGATTTGGTGGTTTTGTAAGTCTTGAGATTTCTTTCTTCAATATCTTGTTTGGTTGATTTGTTGGGGGTATAAATAATGTAGAAAAGCCTCTTTTACTTTTATCTTAAGATGTTCTAAAATGACTATACATACATACATAGGAAGTGAAATAAGGCTTTTAAAAAGAACCCAAACCAAACGGCCCCCTATTCTTCAATATAATATAATATATATATATACATACACGAAAATACTTGTACAATTTGTACGTAAGATTACATAAAGTTAAACTTATTTTTTTAACAAATAATTATGTCCACAACATAAACTAATTATTATAATATACTAAAAAATAATAGATTATACAAAATTCGATAAAAATAATGAAAATATGTTATTAAACTAATAAGAATTTTTTTAGATTCTTTTAATTTTTTTAAAATACCATGTAAATATTTTTTTTTTTGTAATGAAAAAACATTATAATAAGAGAAAATGTTATATAATTTTAATGACTTAGTACTAGACCTTATACCTTAATTAATTCAATAAATAATAATTATAATAAACAAGAAAAAACCATTTTCATGGGATGTTGACTTCCTCTTCTTTTTCTCACCTTATCCAAAATCAAACTCATTATCATGAGGCTAAAATTACAAGTTATCCACCTACTTTTTTAAATATATATATATATATATATAATTCTTATATATTTATTATTTTTATTTGCAATGGGGTCTCAATCACCCTCTTAAACTTGTAGTTGTCACGTCTTAATTATGTTTTTTTTTTTCTTCTTTCTTAAAAAGTATATAAATATCAAAGTTTTTTCGTTAATCAATATGTAATTAGATTTATTAATATACCATACTTAACTTAATTTAATAGTTGTAATCGCATTAATATATATTAGTGAAGCTTAATGATATTTATTCATTTAAAAGAAGTGATGTTCAATTTTTAATTAATTAATAGCTGTTTAATAGCATGCGATTAACTAACACATACACGTGGCAATATAAAAAATTATATAACTAATAGAAATATTTTGAATACCTCCAAATTACAACTTGTCAAATGGTTGGTAGTTCCATTAAAACTCCCTTAAGTTTTCAAGATCAGGGTGCTCAATAGTTGGATCAAAGATTCAAACTCCTCCTTCAAATGAGAAATAAACATACTTTATCGTGAAAGATAAAAGAATAATTCGTTCTATATTTTTTGCGAAGAATAATCAATCTGTATTCATAGCACAGCTTCTTCGTTCATCGTGGTTGACGACGGACTGGTCCAAATGGTTTACTGAAATTGACAGAACCCTCATTCACAGTAAAGGGTTGGTCAGTGGCAACAGACCTTTAGTTTGAGTTCCTTGAAGCTTTGAGGCTGCAATTCTGTCACGCTCATTCATATAAAGAAAGAAACTTGGTATATACACAGTCACTACACAAGAAACATTCACTAATGAGGTGAAACTCCGAGTCTTGGGTTCTTGTACAAAACAACCACGCTTGAAGAAATGCAACATACAGCTTGGCACGACACATACCGCTAAAATGTTAACCAACATAAGGAACTCCTTGACATGATACAAGGGGGCTACATGAAGGAAGTCACGAATTTTGTTCCTTTTACGCCTCCAGAGATAGGTCATTAATTGTTAATCAATTTACATGTAACCACAATTTGAGAGCAATACTTAACCAGCAAACAGAGAAGATGACCCAGATTAGTCAATTGATCCATCCGGACAAAGAATTTTGTTTCTTGGACAGGAATCTGTCACCTGAAATAACCATGGCATAGAGCTTTTGCACAAACAGTTTCTCTGGCAATAATCAGCACCTTTTCCAGTCTCCACCCTTGGTTCTTTCAAAAATACGTGGTTGCTTCCGAGAAAATGTTATGTTCCAGTCTGGATATTTCAGCACATAGTCCCATATCCTGAGAATACAGAAAATAAAACAATAACTCGCTATCTCTAAATACTAATTATTGATATGAAATGTGCCCTGCAATTCTTCACCAAGTACAGAAGGACGCCATAATTACCACATGCCACAACAAATGCAAAAAAGTATCCAGGATGTTTTCTCCATGTATCATCTCTCAACACTCAATTCCAAACTTCAGAAAAAATAAAATTTCTTCCTTATTCTAAATCACTGAATATTTCACTATAATAATTCAAACAAAATTGATGAGTTAAAAAGTTCTAGGATATTTGGTCCACATGCAGAGATGATAAACTTCACTGCAAGGAGGCATTAAATACTACTAGAAGAAGAGAACTAACCCACTGGATACAGCATAATTGACATTTGTTCAATAGCTTTCCTGTCATGTACAGTGTGAAATCAAACAACTTGAGTAACATCAAAAAACTTAAACCTTTATTCTCTTCGGGCTTTGATGTCGAGCTTCATAAATGTATTATCCTTCTCACATGTCAATGCTAATGAATGTTACCTACCATATTGTTGCCCAAGGGCAAAATCACTACCTTTTCAAAATAATTTGATTTTTGCAACATGATGCAAATGAGCCAAAACTAGAAAATACCGTCTCTTTTTTTCTTTTTTTTGAAATAATAGAAAATACCGTCTCATATTATCCACAAAATCTGGACCCTCAGCTAAAGGTGAAGTAGAACATTGATGGAGGATTTCTGCATCAGAAAGACACTGAATTGAGAAGGCAATACGCTTCAGGCGTAAGGTCCTGCATCAACCAAAAGGAATGCAAAGTATTTTAATAGAGTAAATAACTAAATGGGTTGCTATTTATTCTTACAAGGAGAATATATGCGTGTGTACATATATATATGCAATACGAAAAGCTGAAAAAAATGTATATAGGTTAGTCTTCATAGATCTAACCATACTTTAGTATCCTATCGCT